GTTTCGTGTCAATTTCGGGTCAGTTTCGTGTCAAATTCGGGTCAATTTCGGGTCAATTTCGGGTCAGTTTTGTGTCAGTTTCATGTTAATTTCATGTCAATTGCGGGTCAGTTTCATGTTAATTTGGGTCAAGTTCAGGTCCGTTTCGTGTAACTTCCTGGTCAAATTCCGGTCAGTTTCATGTCAATTTGCGGGTCAGTTGCAGGTCAGTTTCATGTTAACTTTGGGTCAATTTCATGTCAATTTCAGGTCAATTTCATGTTGATTTCAGGTCAAGTGTGGGTCAGTTTCATGTTAATTTGTGTCCATTTCATGTCAGTGTTGTGTCAATTTCAAGGTCAGTTTCATGTCAATTTTGGGTCTACTTCATGTCAATTTTGGGTCTATTTCAGGTCAGTTTTGTGTCAATTTCAGGTCAGTTTTTTCACAAATTGCAGGTCAGTTTCATGTTAATTTCAGGTCAGTTTCATGTCAATTTCTGGTCAATAGTAAGTCAATTTCATGCTAATTAAAGGTCAATTTCATGACAATTTTGGGGTCACATTTTGTGTCAGTTTCATGTCAATTTCATGTCAGTTATATGTCAATTTCATATCAGGTTTTCGTGTCAATTTCTGGTCAATTGCAGGTCAATTTCATGTCCATTTCATGAAAGCTTTTGGTCTGTTTCGTGTCAATTTCAGGTCAGTTTTACATCAATTTCTGGTCATTTGCGGGTCGGTTTCATGTCAATTTTGTGTAAATTTTCAGGTCAGTTTCATGTTAATTTCAGTATTTTCAGTCAGTTTCATGTCCATTTCTGGTCATTTCAGGTCAGTTTCATTTCTGGTCATTTTCTGGTCAGTTTCATGACAATTTCAGGTCAATTTCCAGTCAATTTTAGGTCAGTTTCATGACAGTTTTCTGGTCAACTTCATGTCTGTGTCATGTCAATTTCTGGTCAATTGCAGGTCAGTTTTACGTCAATTTCAGGTCAGTTTCATGTTGGTTTCATGTCATTTCCATGTCAATGTCAGGTCAGTTCCGTGTCAATTTCTGATCAATTTTCAGGTCAGGTACATGTCAAATTCCAGTCAATTTCAGGTCAGGTTCAGATCAGGTCCAGGTCAGTTTCATGTCAGTTTCAGGTCGGTTCATGTTAATTTTGGTCAGTTTCATGTTAATTTCAGGTCAGGTTTAGGTCAAAAGTCATGTTAATTGCATGTCGATTTCAGGTCAGTTTCATGTCAATTTCATTATAATTTTGGTAAATTTCAGGTCAATTTAATGATAAGTTTGGGTCAATTTCAGATCAATTTCATGTTAATTTTGGGTCANCCCAAATCTGACACAAATCTGACCCAAATGACCTCAAATCTGACCTAAAACTGACCCAAATCAGCCCAAATTGGACTCAAATCACCCCAACTCCCAAAACTGACCCGAATCACCTCAAATCTCACAAATCCACCCTAAATCTGACCCAAATCGGATTTAAATCACCCCAAATTGTTAATTTTGGGTCATTTCAGGTCAGTTTCGTGTTAATTTCGGGCCAGTTTTGTGTTAATTTTGGGTCAATTTTCAGGTCAATTTCCTATTAATTTCGGGTCAGTTTCTGGTAAGTTTCAGATCTGTTTCTGGTCAGTTTTCAGGGCAGTTTTGTGTTAATTTCTGGTCATTTTTTAATCAGTTTCATATTAATTTCAGGTCAGTTTCATGACAGTTTTCTGGTCAACTTCATGTCTGTGTCATGTCAATTTCTGGTCAATTGTAGGTCAGTTTTACGTCAATTTCAGGTCAGTTTCATGTTGGTTTCATGACAGTTTCATGTCAATTTTATGTCAATTTTTACAGGTCAGTTTCTGTCGATTTCAGGTCAGATGCATATGTTCTGGTCAGTTTCATGTTAATTTTAGGTCAATTTCATGTCAATTTCAGGTTTGTTTTATGCTAATTTTAGGTCATTTCCATGTCAATTTCAGGTCAGTTTCATGTCAATTTCTGATCAATTTTCAGGTCAGGTACATGTCAAATTCCAGTCAATTTCAGGTCAGGTTCAGATCAGGTCCAGGTCAGTTTCATGTCAGTTTCAGGTGGGGTTCATGTTAATTTTGGTCAGTTTCATGTTAATTTCAGGTCAGGTTTAGGTCAAAAGTCATGTTAATTGCATGTCAATTTCAGGTCAGATTCAGGTCAGGTTCATGTCGATTTCTGGTCCGTTTCATGTCAATTTCATGATAATTTTTGGTCAATTACAGGTCAAATTCATTATACGTTTGGGTCAATTTCATGTTAATTTTGGGTCAMTTTCAGGTCACTTTCAGGTCCATCTCGTGCGAATTTCGGGTTAATTTCAGGTCAATTTCGGGTAGAACCCTCAGCTTCCTGGCTCTCTGAGGAATTGCCCACTGGGGCCATCGCTGAGCTTGCAGCTCCATTCCCACCTCTCTCATGCAGAGGGGGAATGGCAATAGTAAGCTGGTTTGCATGCACTGCACAGCACACATGCACTACATCCATGCATGAGAGAGTCCACAAGTGCACTAAGTGCACAAACATAGAAATTCTGACTTTGACAATACATATTTATGTTAATACATTGAAACGAAAGGGTTAACATTGCAGAATTCCCTCACTGAGATGCTGTTGACAATCCAGGGTATATCTGCTCTCTCAAAAACTCACTCAAGTAGAGACTTTTTCATGAAAACTACACAAGAGCAGCATGCACAAAAATCCAGTGATCTTGGCAACTGCCCACCTGTAAAGCTCTATAAAATGTGTTTAGATAATTGACATCACCTTCAATGCCATTCCTATCTGGCCTGGAAAAGTCTGTATTAAGAGTGTGYGTGAGGAAATCAAAAGTAGGGAGARTTCAGGTAGTTTTCCAAATCCCTGTGCAGAACTGTTTAGTCTCAAATTTTGGGACCTGAACTAATAGAGACCTGGCAAGAAAAATGCTTTTAATTTTTGCCGCAGAATTGATAAAACATAGTGAMGACCTACTATGTCATCCATTTTTTATTAGCTTTCCCCCATCAAAATGAAAGCAAGCAAATACAAGCTAAACTTTGTTTTACAGACCTTCAGATGACCTAACTTTACCAATCAAGCACAGATYTGCAGCACCTTATGAAGAAGCATCTTTAATCAAGCGAAAACACATCAAGTAATGTGTTGCCTACTATTAACACACAGCTAAGTCTAAAACTGTGCTGAACAGTTCATCTCATTTTTAGAGTTCTGTCTACTGAAATAAAGAAATCACACGTGAAGGCATGGCTACAGTTAAATTGATTAAAAGTGAATCAAAGTTTAATGCTAACACCTACTACTGTTTTGCAAAGGAAAAGAAYGCAATCATTTTTAGGGTGACCTGTGTAACACTTTGTCCATACAGTCAAGATGCCTCCTTTTTCTGTGAGTAGGTCTGAGAGGCTGTTTGTGTGCTGCTGCAAGCATATCTGTGTGGCTCTAGGGCACAGCAGTAACTRAATAAAACAACACAGGCAGAGACAAGTAAGCAATCACTTACGGTAAAATGGCAACTGCAGCAGAACCAGATGGCAGGCCACTGCTGGCACCAGCCAAACTCTGACAGAGCTGATGCACTGCTCCTTTGGCCATGCCATAGGCAATCATCCCTAACAATTAAAAAATTAGAGCACAATCAGAACAGCTCTCAAATCAGCAGTAACATGACAGAAATTAAAGACTGTTTGATGAATATTAAGACAACTTACCACAGTCAGAAGAGAAACTTATAAAACATTTTAAAACACATATTAAAAGAAAAAAGTAAGGTTTTAGTAGACATCCAGGAACTATCACAGAACTCAGTTAACTTAGCACTACAGAAATAGGCAGTTTACCAAGTTAAGCATGTTAAGTCTATGTATCCAAATGCACCCTTGAAGGATGTGACCTACAGAGCCAAGCTTCCAAATTGAACTAAGGTAATCTTCTATTAATTTTAATAATATAGCTACGGCATTTGTGAGTTTGGACCCAAACAGATATTGTTCACATCCCTCTAAGATCTGGAATTTACTTGGTCAGCACCCCAAGTCTGACAGGCCTTTTGGAGAAATCTACAAAAAACCCAACCTTCATGGTAGAAAATAAAAAAGTAACATGCAGGGAAGGCAAGCTTATTCCTAAAAAATGTTGCTTTCCAGAAGACAGCATTTAGCAGTGGAAGAGCAGCAGGAGCCAGAGCATAAAGCACACTGCTTAGGTACAAGATCTGGACAATCAAGGTGTTAGTGGTCTCAGATGTCTCAAGGCATGCCAAGAAGTCCAGATACAGATTAAGCACGTAAGAAAACATGAATGTGTTTTGTCTACTGCAACTGGAGGTCTTTGTTTCCACCCATCTATATAGCTATCCAGCCCTTTCCAATGTTCCTGAAGAAGTATTTTGAAAATAGAAATACTTCTACAATGTAATTAGACATATTGCATAACATCCATTTTTATTAGGAGGAATCATGGACTGCACAAGTTAACTCATATTATTGTTACGATAAAAATATTCACATGTATATCATATTCCTCTCCAAACTTGCCCACACTAAACATTTTAAAWCTTCTTCAAAACCTTTTCATGCCTGATACATTTCTCAGCCATCACTCTTGCACCACTTCTGTCACTGTTCATGTAATTTTCAGTGTTCTTCAGTTTGCATTATGTGAGGCAAATTTTTCTCATAGGAAAAGAAAAATCCCATAAACAGCAAACAAGACAAAGATTATTTCTTCTAGAACAGCCAGTTATAACAAGGCTGGTAAGGCATATTTGCAAAAGTTGAGTAACAACTCTTTCCCAATTCTTTCCAATGTTAATAAGTTGCATCTGTTTGCCCAAAGCACTGGCGCAACTTTTAGAAAAATCCAACTAGCTGAAACCAGCTAGTTAAAAACAGGAAAGCACTTCACTTTGATTCCTGTGCTGTGGCCCCTACCTCCCAAAACCACACAAACAAAAGCCATTACAGTTTGCCAGGATTCACATCTTTTTCATTTGTATATAGTCAGTCAGCAGTTCACTGTAAATTATTCATCTGAGCATTCTCACAAAATAAACCTTTTATCTTTGACTACAACAGATGCCACTGTAAACACAGAAGATTAATCATTAACTAGAAAATCTATAGAATATTTTTCCCAGATAGTTTTAGGCAAGTATTCAAAAATATTCATAAATTGTATATGCCTTAAAATCTTAGTATCTATGTCTTTAAAATATTGTTGAAATGACACTAATAAAAGCTTGGGAAATAGAAGCATTTGTCTCAAACTTTCCTCTTGTTGCCCATGGGTTTGCATGTCAGTGGCTTTTTTTTTAAATTTTAAATTGCTCCCAGATTTCTTCCTCCATGCAGACCAACATGGCTGAGAAGCTAAATTAAAAATCCAATAAAGTTCCTATTAAATAGCTAGTGGAAGGCAAAGCCAACAGTCAACAAGCTTATCYGTGTCTGAGGCAAAGGTAGACTGAATCAGAACATGAACAGGACAAGCACAGTTGTCAGAATCAGCTGAGTCATCACCAACAGAAAGACTGGTCAATTAAGGACTCTGTCTTTCAGAACACAAATAAGAAATTTAACTTTATCTAAGCACTGTACTCACACTGCTGTGTGCTTCTAGTCTTCATTATTTTCCAAAATTTTTTCTGTATCATRTACTAGCCAAGTACATTTCACCAATGCATGTCAGATATTATTTAAATACTGAGTCTGTGTGCTTGAACTACAGCTTCAAGAGACTCAATACTGCTRCCTGTAAAATTACAGTTTCCTTACACATTTCAGCAGCAGCTTCCCATTTGTGCTAGATGAAAAGAAATTGGGGTGTGAAACCGTTGCTTCACAAACAAGAATGCTCAGATAAACAACCATCTCTAACTGCTGGTGTCTCTGCAGCTCTCATGCACTGCATTTTACCTGGGGTTCCAGATAAGGCAGCTTGAGCTCCTGTCAGAGTCAAGAGGCCACCTTCTTTCAGATGTTTTGTGGCRAGATGGCTGGAAATAGTCGATGTCCAAACACTCTGCTTCCACATCAGATCACAGTTTTTGTATAAAGCTGATTAGGAAGATAATTAAGTGAAATTAGCCAAAAGAAGACTTTTACCTCTGATTTCCTCACTGTTACACAGAGTGCAAGAGCACTATGAAAACATGCTTTCTGTCATTTTCTATTTCCACAGTGTAAAATATTAATTTATGTCTATTCCCTTTCTCTTTGAGCCTGTAACAGCCAAATCAGAAGGGGGAAGAAAAGGACACATTTTAGTAGATTTACTTCAGACAGTATTTTTCTTCTTGTATCTCTACAGTAATGGGCAAAGTATAAATTTAATTCTGAATGTTACAGGTTTAAAAGCCTTTTTTAATCTGAGGGTTTTTTCAGTAGCATGATTAGGCAGTGCCTTCCAATGCCTTCCATGCTGCAAAGTAACACGTCAGAGAACTGCAGGAGGCAACTGAGGTTTTATGCAAAAAGCAGTGAGTTATACACAACATCAATGTTTCTATCCAGCACTGTCTTTTGTCACTTGCCTGACACAGGCAATCTCAGCAAAAGTCAGCTCATAGATAATAATGCTCAGCTCCTTCAGAAGGCACATCGAAACTTTTTGATAAAAATTAGTATATCAACAAACATTACTAAAGAAACTAAGTCTTGAGCACATTTAAAAGATGGCAAAAATTCAGAGAAGCACTAAGAAGCACTGTGACTAAGCTATTTTGTACTTTTATGCTTTTGTCCTCTTCTCGACTGGGGAATAAAAGATTTTTTTACGGAGTACTCTCAGATATCATTCATGTTTTCACCAGCATGTCTGTACCAAAGGCTTACACTTTGCTTTGGCGCTGCCTCCAGCCCATCCTCCAGCTACACACAAGATTGCATCCACCTTTTCCTCACCAAGAAGTCTTCCAACTTCTGCTGTTACCTTCAAMACATAGAACAAGAAAATACTGAAAACACTGGCCTGATGAGGTAAAGAGGTAAACACCATAAATGCCTTGAAGTTACTTTTTCCCACTTAGGTGTTTGAGTAACACAAGACACACAATTTAAACAGCTATAGAATATTACTATTTATGATACATAAACTCAAAACAACTGTGCTGAAAAATAACTATAGATTAAAGTCAGATGAATGAAAGCCACAGAAAGTGGTAGAAAGGTGTCACTGGAAATAAGTGATCATCAGGGCTGAAACACCTGACCTTTACCTCTATCTTTACCTGACTTGCTTTTGACAGGTTCTCTTCTGAGTATGGTGTTGTTTAAGGTGGGAAATGAAACTCCAGGTCTGACCAGGACTACTGCTGTCACTTTCGATGACAGTSCAAGAAAAACAACTAAAGATTGCCCTTCTTATTGCTTCTGTCTAGACCTCAACCATCAGTTTGAGTCTGGACCTTAAATTTGAGCTTGCTTGTATACTTTTAGATATATGCAATTTGTTCTCTTTCAAATATAAACCCTCACAGCTGATAATGAATTTGCTGGCTATAAATTTTCTCTGTCCAAGTGAATAGCAAACAATCCRTCTCTCAACAAGTGAAAAAGAGCCAATAGCTTTTGCAGAAACATTGAAAATTGTACTGCRAACATTCTATGTTACTCTTCCAAAGCTTTAGGAGTTGGTGGCCAGGTAAAGTATAGCAATAAGACAAATGGGTTTGAAACTTAAAATGTAAAAAATAAATCCTATCTACAGAGAATAAGCCAAAGTATTTTTTAGGCCAGCTTAGATTGTCCCAYATTCACCTTTACGGAAACCAGTGCATTGCCCTAGGGATCCCTCGGGGCTTAGGTTCACATGCTTTGAGCATACCATTTACCTATACATAACACATTTATAAGTTAGGATATTATTTTAAAGTGTTGCATTTTAAGATGTCCTTACCCATCTTCATTACAACTCAYCTGGTTCAATCCGTGACTTTTAAAAGTCAAGAGAAAAACAAAGCAAAAGTGCCTTATGTGCTGAGCTTCTAATGATCCTGATCAAACTCTTTATGCTTATTTAGCAAAAATTAATTACAATAAATTAAAAAGAAGCGACGAGCAGCAGYTTAAGGACCTTGAGGTTCGCGGTACGGCCACACCACCGCCACCGACCTCGCTCCTGCTTCCCGCATGGAGCCGGAGCCATCCCTGCAGCCGCCTTGCTCACCGCGGGCGGCAGCAAAAAAAGGAGCACCCGGGGGAAGCTGCGAGCACCGCTCGGCCGAAGGGCTGCGCACACCCGGGGGAGGCTGCGAGCA